CTACGTGCAGGATGAATGTGCTGGCAACTAACAACGAGTCCTACCTGAAGAGCTGTCGGTACAGCCAGGAGCATCCCTACTGCCCCATCTTTGTGTTGGGCAACATCGTCCGCTGGGCTGGGGGCAACTTCCAGGAGATGGCCTCGGAGGTAGGAGTGCCCCGGGGCTCGTGGGTGCTCCCAGCTGGCTCACTGCTCACTGGGAGGCTGTGAGGAGTCACTGCCCAGGGAGCTGCCTCCTGCACTGCACTGCAGAGGTGCCAGTGCTTAAAGTCAAACTGGTCCCATTTATCCTGTCCCCAGGGAATGGGGGCTCTCTAAAACAGCTGGTTGGGTCAGTGATTTCTATTCAGGGCTGCCCAAAGTGCTGCTATGCCAGCAGGGATTCTTTGTTTAATTTCAACATTACTACAGCGTTGGTTTAAACCCAGAACTCTGGAAATCCACCCCTGCATAAAAGATCACCTTCCCCACTGAAGTGTGGAATGGAATGAAATCAATGTCCTGGGATGAGACATCTCAGGATACCAGCACAGGGAGAAGTGGGGTTGTAGAGTAATAATGGGATTAATGTCACACACCTGAATCCCAGGCAGGATTGTGTGTCCCCTTGTTTGACCAGAAGTGCAGCTGCTTCTTGCCCCTGGGGAAAACCTGCCCAAGGGTCTGACAAACTTGAAGACACTTTAACTGAACTGAGCTTAAACAACTCACCCTGTCTCTCTCTTTTAAGGGTGGTGTGATAGGAATTCAGATTGAATGGAACTGTGATCTTGATAAAGCCCCTTCTGAATGTAATCCTCACTATTCTTTTAGCCGGCTGGATAACAAGTCTGCAGAAACCTCCATCTCTTCTGGGTACAACTTCAGGTGGGTACAGAGGAGGCCACAATGCAGAACAAGCTGGGCTGGGCTGCTTGGGCTTGCAGGTGCTGGAGGTTGGCAGTGGAGTGGCACCAGCCTGTGCCAGGCACTGCTGCAGCCGAGCACAGAGCGCTGCAGAGGAGGGAGGGAGGTAGGCAGTGCTAAAGCTGGCTTTGATAAAGGAACAGATCTCCTGGAAGGGATGAGAGACTTCAGAGGGGCAGGTGGAATTAAGGCCAGCATTGCTGTCTCCCAGGTTTGCCAAGTACTACCGGGATGCTCAGGGGGTCGACTACCGGACGCTCATTAAAGCCTACGGAATCCGCTTCGATGTGATGGTGAACGGCAAGGTGAGGGCAGCCAGGGTGTCCCAGAGCCTGCAGAGAAAGGAAGTGGGGGGAGGCAGCTCTGAGGTGAGGACAGCCTCTCTGGTTTGTTGTAGGGAAAGGCTTTTCCCATCCATCCATGTGGAGCTAATCTCCATGTAAGAGAGATCACCTGCAGTGCAGCTGAGCCTGCACCTCCTCTATTAAAACCAGGCTCGTGTAAAGCCCAACAGAAATAAATGTGCCCTAGAGACTTTTTCCACATGCAAGCACTGCAGAGAGAAAAGTAGCCTAATCCAGGGATGATGCAAGCTCAGAAATGCAGCCAGGGACAGTCAGATCTAAGACACAGAGACCTTCAGCCTCCAAGATTGCTCACTGCAAATCCCCCGTGGTTGTGCCTGGGAACAAAATGCACCCAGGGGCAGCAGCAGCTTCCCCAGGGCAGTACCACACCCTTGAGTTTGTTTTGTGGGTTGTTCTCTCAGTGGTGACTTCATGACCTTTGTTCTTCCAGGCAGGGAAATTTAACATCATTCCCACCATTATCAATATCAGCTCGGGGCTGGCACTCATGGGAGCTGTAAGTGAATGTTTTGTGTTAAAGTAACCCCAGGGGACCCAGACCCCAAATGGGATGAGAATGGGATGGGGGGCTTAAATCTTCTCCAGCAGAATCTTTACTACTCTGACTACTCAGCCAGGTGTGTCTGTGTCCTGTCTTAAAAGCATTTGTTAATAAACCTGGTATTCTAAACACCCCCACAGCCTGTATATTATATGTACCTACCCTGGAAAATGCATGGAGAATGAAGGCAAACAGTTTCTACAAGTTATCCTTTCATTCATGTTCATTTCTAATGAGATCAGAACACTTCCTCTTCCGTTTCAAAGATAAAACCCAAGTTCTTTCCTTTTGCAGGGAGCTTTCTTTTGTGACCTGGTGCTGCTATATCTGATCAAGAAGAGCAACTTTTATCGAGGCAAAAAGTATGAGGAAGTCAAGTAAGTGGGCCTGGCTTTGTGTTAAAAATCATGCCTTTTTGTTAAGAGTGTTAGAAATAGGAGATAGAGGAGCACAGTTCCATGGAAATATATTCTTCCAAATGATTTTGGCCAAGTTATTGGCTTCCTCTGTAATTCCTTGCTGCAGTGAGCTGGGGAGCAAAGGCAGCTGCTGTGTCATGGTTGGACTGGCAATGGCTTTGTGCTAATGACCGAGGGTGGAATTGGGGCAGCTCCAAGAGCCTCGTGGAACTGAGATGTGGAGGGGCCTTTGGGTAAGGTGACACAGGCCTGGCTGGGAGCATTTTTGCCTCCTGAAACAAACCCAGGCTGCTCATCCTGTCCCTGTGCCTGTTTCCCCAGGTCCAACTCCAGGAAATCCTTGTCGAGCCCTACGCTGAACGGGAATCAGAGCCCGGAGCAGCTCGATGGGCTCTAGGCACAGCTGGACTCCTGCTCCAGGAAATCCACACAGGTGTGGCATCACACCAGCACTGGGAGGTGGACATACCCCAGATCAGACCTAGTAAGATCAGGATTTCCAGAGGAAGAAACCTTCTCTAAAGACTGCATTTCTTCCCTGAGATTTCTCTGGGATCCTGAGTTTGCAACGTGTGTCGTCACTATGGATTTATAAAAGGATTTTTATAAAAGGACAAAGAAGGCACCAAAAGAATGTTTTTGTATCCACTGATAGATATATCTGTACTTATGCCAATAGCCAGTGCTGTCCTGTGGCTGTGCTTTGCTTCCACGTGGAGAAAAGCTGTGATGGGAGCACTTTGGGAAGGGCTGAAGCTGAAACCCAACCAGTCTCCTGCTCTGCTGCCGTGGCAGTCACTGCCTCCAGCTCCTGCCTGGGTGATGTGACATCAGCTGTGAAGCAGCAGGACTGCTCTGCTCAGGAAATGCAGGGAAATGTGGCACTCTGGAGCAGCTCTTGGGGCTGGGGAAGGGGCTGTGATCCTGCAGGGGTGAGGCAGGGGGGGACAGTCACCCTTGTGGGGGCTGATGCACTGAGAAGCAGCGTGGCCCTGGGAGCACCTGCACAGCTTCTGCCTCCTTCCTTCAGTGCCTGCTCTCATTTGCTCAGGACTGTCCTTGCTGCATCACTGCCTGATTTCTCATGGTGGGCAGGTCTGGATGGGCACTCAGAGCCTCTGTTTCTCACAGCACCCTGGGCTGTGCTGCAGACTGAGAGGGCAGCTCTGCCAGGGCCACGGGCTGGGCCAGCCTCCTCCAAATACAACAGCAAGGAAAGTTAGAATGTGTCTGCCTGCTACTTCAGCACCAGTGACCTCCAGGAAATACAAGTGCTTGTCTCTCAGCAGAATCAGTCTCTCCCTGCAGCCCATTTGGTCCATTTATCTCATGTGAGGATGTAACTAATCTCAGAAAAGGGCTTAAGGAGTATCATTGTGTTCTGTACATGCTGCCCCATCACCCTGACTGGGAGCTGTCCTGATGAAGATTAAATGTTTTTGTGCATGCTTTGAATACCAAAAGTTAAAGGGCTCCTGCTGCAGCATCTGAGGGTGGCATCAGGGAGCTGCTGCCATTGAGTGGCTGCACAAATGGCACCAGCAGCTGCACCCACCTCTGCTTTAACTTCTTTAAGGTTGTTACTGTGAGGTACAGCTTCATCCTAAATTAAAATTCACCTCTGTTAGCAGTGGCAAACTCTGAACCCAGTCACTGACAGCAAACCCCACCCAGTCTAGCTCTCCCCCTCTGCTTCTGTGTAGTGAGCTAAAGATGGGGCTAGAAAATAAATTAAACACTGGAGCTCATTTAGGATAAGCTGTGTACCTTCGGTGCTCTGATCTCATCCAAAGCCTTCTCTCCATGTCAGAAGTCTCCCCTCAAGGCAAACACAAGTCACTGCACAAGAGTTCCCACCAGGCTTTTGACTGTCAGGGCTTAATTGGAGTTGAGTAATTTCTAGATGGTGAAACACACAGTGAACCCCTGTGTGACATCAGGGCCTGGCACAACTCCTGGCAAGCAAGCAGCTCCTCCTGATGTGCAAAGCTGACTGTGCTCTGCTGAAACCATTGTTTTAACTTGCCAAAACATCCTCCTGTGAGAGGACCAAAGCTATTTCCTGAATCTAAGACTCCAGGTCTCCCAGACCCCCTAGAAGGTTTCCTTTCTTTAGACTCTGTAACACAACTCCTACAACCCCTGCTGTTAATAAAACATAACCAGATTCCTTCTCAGGAGCTCATTTCTTGACTTTGACTTTTTTTTTTTTTCCTCCTTGTGTTTCATGTTCAGCAATAAAATGTGTCACTTTAGGCCAGTGCTCCCTGGGAGTGTTCTGTAAGTGTTTTTTCAGGTCATATCTCCTTCTCTTGGAGATAGTGATGTGAGCACATCAATGAATCACTTATTTTTGCAGGAACAGGGCTATAGGAAAGGAAAATAGGAAATACCTGGATGGTGGGTGATGGATTTATCCCCTTTTGTGGCTTTTCTGGAGACCAGTGACAAGCACCTGTGACAGTGCCATTTACTGATGGCAGTCAGGGAAGAGAACATTTGCATGTATGCTTCTGTTCCAAACCTTTACATCCACTTAATTATTTTCTTTTGCCAGCAGAATTATTTTAAAATAATTTCATTATTTCAGGGTTAGTGCTCCAGTATTTGTGTTAGGGACAGGCAGCACATCCAGAGGGGATTATAACTGGTGTGTGTACCCAAACCACAAAGGATACAAGGGACTATATGAATCAAACCCCACAGCCTGCTCTTAGCGACAGAAATTACCCCTTAACAAGGACACAAATACAGGAGGCATCCAAACGGTGCTTCACATTCAGTTTAATTAGAACAGTGCTACTGATTAATTCGTACTTGGACATAATTTACCAACGGCATTAACGACACGAGCCACGGACGACAGTTTGGAAAGTGAGCCGGCCTATTGTGTAGTGACTTTTGGCAACAGTCCCGCAGCCCCGGTAGCGGCGGAGCCGCTCAGTACACGTGAACCATCCCGTACAGGAAAGTCCAGAACAGGACGTAGGTGAAGAGCCCTCCCACGAGCCCCCCCGTGAACAGCGGCCTCCGCGACTTGAAGTACTTGTTCCACCGCCGCCCGGCTTTCAGCACCAGCAGCACGGAGAGGAGGACGGAGGCCAGGAAGTAGAAGATGAAGCCGTGCAGGCCGGTGAGGCCGAGGATGCCGGCCGTGGCGCCCGACAGGGCGGACACCGAGGTGCGGCAATAGTCCAGGATGGCCGCGTTGCCCCGCACCGCCGCCTCGCTGATGAACTGCGGCCCCTCGCGCTTGGCCACCACGGCGGCCATGGCTCCGCGCCGGGCTCGGGCACCTCCTCGCTCGCACCGACACTGAGGTGAAGCAAACACGCGCTGTACGAGCCCGCCCGCCCTCAGGCCGCCGGGAGAGCCCCGCGGGCCCTCCCGCCCGTCCTGGCGGGGAGCAGGGGGCGGGGCCGGGCGAGGCGCTTTTGTTCGGGTGGCGGCGGCGGCGACGGGGCGGACATGGCGTTCGTACCGGGGCAGCCGGTCACCGCCGTGGTGGTGAGCGGGCACGGGAGGGGCGGGCACGGCGCTCCTACCGGGGCAGCCGGTCACCGCCGTGGTGGTGAGCGGGCACGGGAGGGGCGGGCACGGCACGGCGTTCGTACCGGGGTAGCCGGTCACCGCCGTGGTGGTGAGCGGGCACGGGAGGGGTGGGCACGGCGCTCCTACCGGGGCAGCCGGTCACCGTTATTCCGGGGATACCGTGCCGGGGGCTGCTGGCGGGGATGGAGAGCGGGATGCCGGTGCTGCCCGGGCGCTGTCACGGGCGGAGGTGCCGTCCCGGGGCAGCTCCGGTTCGCGGGTGTGTGGAAGGAGCGGGCGAAGGGTGCGGACGGGGACGCGGGTGCCGGTGCCTCCCGGTAGCGCCCTGCGGGCTGTCGGAGGTCCCCGGGCAGCTCCGGTCCGCCGGCGAAGGGCGCGGCCGCTCGGTCCGTAGCGCCGCCGGCCCCGGTTGTCGCTCCCCGCTGTCAGATTCTCCGCTGTCCGCGATACCGGGTGGGAGAACAGAGGGGAAACTCCGCCGGGCGGAGGGAACGACCCCCGGCCGGGGCTGCTTGAGAGAAGAGGGAGCGGAGCCGCCGAGACGCGCGTTCTCCCGGTACCGGGACCGTGCGTGCCAGTCTCGGTGCGGATCCCCCTCTGAGGGCAGCGGCAGGATAAGCACCTGCTCGTCTGGGTGGGGTTTAGGAAGCAGAGCTTTTAAATGAGATAATGGCTTTAATCAGCACGCAGTGCGAGTGAGGATTTGTGCTTTCCCCTGGCTGTGACTGGGATGTGCTTGGCTGGGTGGCCCCAGCTGAGGACGCGGGTGTTTGGAATCCAGGGATGTTGGAATTCAGCGGGGAAGTTCAAGGTCTGTGTGACGGGGCTGCGAGAGGAAAATCGCTGAATTGTTTGGGTTGGAAGGCACCCGTGAAGGTCATCTCATCCACTCCTCTGCAGTGAGCAGGAACATCTTCCATTAGATAGGGTGGAAGCACCTTTTGAGAGGTTATTGTGTCAGTTAAGACCGTGGCTTTTCACCCTGGCTCAGGAATTGCACCAGCTGGCATTTCTACAATGCTGACATAATGCACAAAGCTGCTCAGATGCCTTTGTGCATCGGGCAGTGAGGAACCTGCCCCGGGATACAAAAGTTATGCTGAAAAAGAACCATCCTAATAATAGGTTGTTATTTGTGCTGATAGGACTAGCAGGAACATAAGGCATGTGGATAACGAGCAAGATGAGGCTGGTCATGAGTGACTGCTGCTTATCAAGGCATGAGTCATGTTTACAGAGAGCTGCTCTGGTTTTAGTGCTGTTCCTTTCTATTTCTGGGCAGGCAGGAGAGCTCTGAGTAATTGAGGGGCTGGGCTGTGTCGTGGGATCTCTGTGAAAGACAGTCTAACTGGATCTGAAGTATCAGTGTCTGAAATGCACTCGTCACAACTCAGCTATTTGATCTCTTTCTCTTTCCAGCAAAGAATTGAAATACATAAGCTTCGTCAAGGTGACAATTTGATTCTGGGATTCAGCATTGGGGGTGGCATTGATCAGGATCCTACTCAGAATCCTTTCTCTGAAGACAAGACTGACAAGGTCAGACAATCTTCTTCTGTAGCAATTCCCTCTCCCAAAGGCTGAGCTACCCAAATCATCATCTGCCCTCTGCCACAGCTCATCTCTTGCCCCATTATCACTTGCAGCCTGAGTTATTCAAGTGACTTCTCCACCTTCTCTATTTTCCAGCATTGCACAAGCCTGTTTTTAACTAAAATCTCATAATACACTACAGAGGTTTGTTGTGTTTTCAGTCAAATGGCCTTGGATCCTCCCACATTTAGTAAATGAACACTCAATTTTTTTCCCAGGGTATCTATGTAACAAGGGTGACAGCAGGAGGCCCAGCAGAAGTTGCAGGACTCCAGATTGGAGATAAGATCATGCAGGTAAGCACCAAAATAAGACAGTACTGATGTAGTACCAGCTACTGTGTGCAGAGAAGAATCTGCTGGGGAAAATAATTTTCTGGGTACTTCCCAGGAAAGTTTGTGAGGTTTATAAATAAACTGAGCTGTGGCATAACCGTATCCACTGTGTGGTTCTGATGGAACAGTTACAGGACACCTGTGAGTCCCTGCACTTACCTCATTTTTTGGGGTTTTTTTCCAGGTGAATGGCTGGGATATGACAATGGTGACTCATGACCAGGCCAGGAAGAGGCTGACCAAAAGGAATGAGGAGGTGGTCCGGCTGCTGGTGACCAGGCAGTCCCTGCAGAAGGCTGTGCAGCAATCCATGATGTCCTAATCCATCATCCAGCTGGGGAGGGGGTGGGGAGGGAGATGTATAGATTGGTATCAAAGAAAGAAGCAATTATTAGACTGGAACAGATTGTCTGGAAGGAGTGCATATTCCTACCTGTGGTAAATGCTACTTTTTTATTTTATTTTCTTCTGGTGTAACTGGCAGTAGTGAAACAACACTCCCCTCAGCAGTGCTTCTCTAAAGTCTGCCCTGCAGGTACATGGCAAGACTTCTGTAGACATGGCTTTCAGGACAGGACAGACCCAAGTTATCTAAGAGCAACTGGAAAAGCCTTAACTTGCTCAGGATTCTTCTGTAGCACAAAAGCTTCCTATTTTAGGAGGAAATGTGGTTTCTGCTATGGGAGACCAGAGGGTTTGCTGTGCCTAAGCTTTTAGAAGGGAGCTGTCCTTTCCCCCCCACTACCAAATTCAAATGCTAGAGTTAAGAGCTGCACAGTGCTGTGGGGAGGAGCACTGTACTAATCCTTCACTGTGTGCAAGATAGAGAGTGGCTGAAGGGTTTGGGGCATTACAGTTTCCTGCAAAGATTCCCTGGACAAAGCAGCCTCTTCAGGCAAGGAACAACTGAGGAGCACACAAGTGTTAGATCAATGCCTGTGAAATACACTACAACTTCATGGACACTACAGTTCAACCTCAGTGGCAGGGTAAAATCTGACTTCTCCTTGTTCCCAATTTGGACCATTGGATGAATTGAGTTTAATTGAAAGGAATACTGAGCAGGAAACAAAACAATGTTCCTGAACTTACCAGAAATGCTGCTTGTAGCTGTAGAGTTTTCAGTCCTTCATTCCACTTCTATCAGACTTGAAATGGGAGGGATTTTGGTTTGTCTTGTAGAAGACTTTGCTTAAATCAGTGATTTATTGGATGGACGAGATGAATATGCCAGTAATTTTGCAGAAGTGCCTCTTGACCAAATTTAAACTTCTAGTAGGATACTAAGTGGTTTAAATCAGCTTGCCACAGGACTGAAGATTCTTCCTGCAACCCTAAGTCCATGATCTAGTATCCTGTGGTTTGTTAGCCAGTTAGCTTTACAATTATCCAAAACCTGGAGTTTTTAATCCTCCTCAGTTGATCTATACATATCTATAGTTTCCTTAAGCAGCCTTGGGGTAAGCTGTTGTAAATAGAGCACGAGGAGGTGGCAGACTAATTTATTCAGTACCTTACTGCTGTGCCATGTACTTTGTGATTGATGCATCTCAGACTGTTCTGTGCACACCAGCAGATGCCTACTTACCAGTTTTATATCTCTGGAATTACTACAGTCCTGCTTTAGAATTTTGTTACTTAAGAATTCAGTAGTAAATTATAAGTATTTCAAGTTGGAGTTATTTTTGTTACTATAAAGATACACTGCTATTTGTACTGCTTTTTTCACTTGATTTTACACTCAATAAAACAAAGTTGGTTTTCCTGAGCTGTTTCTCCTTACATTTAATAGTGCTACATCACTTGGGTGCCTCTAGCTGTGACCATTTTTGGCTCAAGGGTAGATTTTGGAATGACTGAGGTCAGTAAGGTCTGGTTTCACTGGTGGGGAACTGTCAAACCTCACCTGGGATCAAGTTTTCTTTATGTTGACACCTAGAAAGACACATTAGGTTCTAAGCATTGAAGCATAAATGCACAGATTCCCTTCTAATTACTTGTCTTAGCACCTTTGAAAGAGCTTTCAGTGAACTAAGAAGACAGCTTCTGTTTTTTAGGAAATTTATTTAATAAAGAGTTCAAATTGTAATATTTGTGCATTTGTTACCAACTCCATTACTGTGATGTACCACTGTGGTCAGCCTGAGTGGTGGTGGACTGTGAGCTGTCTGGGAAAGGTCAGCAGCAGCACTTGGATCCACAGACAGTCTTCAGTCATTACTTAAAGGTATTAAGTGGTTGCTTAAACAGTATCTCAGATTTTTGGAAGACAGAACTCTGCTCTTTGTGCTTCACCTCCAATCAGAAAGACATCACTTTGGTCTTTCTCTTCCCTATGGTTGGTGGAAAAAGAGCCATGTGTTGCTTGGACAGCTCCCTCTGAGCTGTGTGTGCAGCTCCAACAGGCACGAGTCCCCCATGTGCAGCTGGGAGCTTGCTATCCTTAAGGCATCTGGCAGCCAATGCTTGGCAAGGCAACAGTTTGTGTTCCAGCCCAGAGAGTATCAAGTCACAGACAGAGATCAGAATCAGTGTTTCTGGTAACTGGCAGCAAGAATCTTGAAACCCCTCAGACAGGGTAGGGCCAAGTTCAGTTTAAAGTTTGGGTCTCCACAAGTGAGGTTGGTTATTCACAAGGTTCATACCCTCGTCTCCTGTACAGGCAGTAGTGCTGGGCCATGAAAACAATATCAAAGATGATGGAGAAGACACCCAGGCCAAACTTGGTTGGATCTCCAAAGATTAACCTCCACTCATCTGTCAAACACAAAATTAGAGTTAAGTCTGACCCCTTAAGTGTAGTCTTAAGACCCTTTAGAGAAGTTCATGTCTATTACCTGGACTGCTCACACACACCTAAGACAGACTGCAGTGCACATCTTATGCAAAGCTAATTAATAACTGTTCCTGTGGTTTCTTCAGGATGGCTACTTCATTTTATATCTTGAGGGAATATGAACAGATCCTTTATCCTTCCTATAAGGACAGCTCTCCACAACACAGCACAAACATTCTGAGATAACCTGCTTTATATCTGCTATGTTGTGGGACTTCCCACCACATAAAGACAGGCTCCAGCATCTCAGTTCCAGGCTCACCATTGTTGTATGACTGCAGAAACATCTGGAGAAGGCTGAAGCTTCCCCCAGTGAAGTCCAGTAACACATTTCCAATACTCCATCCCTCAGTGCTCTTCCGACGGAAGTTCATGTAGGCCTGGGAGTGTGATAAGAAGTCAGAGTGTCATTCACAGGCATTTGGGATTGACTTTCAAGCTGCTTTCAGTACAATTCCACAGATTTGTCTCTATTAATAAGTAATCAGTGGTGGTTTAGTCTCTTCAGACTTTCAAGAGCACATACTGCAGGCTTAGGGTGGCAGGGATATGGAATGCAAGCAGAATAATCCAGATTTACCTGTGGAAAGTATTTGATCAGTGTGACTGCTAACTTAATGTAGGAGAAGCAGAACAAGAACTGCAGCCATGTCATCACCTCAGCTGCAGCCAGGAACAGCGTTGTGAAGGTGAAGATCCATGCAAGTGCCAGGAGTCCAACAACAACTTTGGATACTTTCTGACCTGCTCTCTGAAATAGAAATACATTTTCTATTTCTCAGATACATTTTGGCCAGGTCACACATCCCCAGACACAAAGATACAGTTTGCTCAGGACCCTGCAATGCTACAGTCCAAACCTGTTTTACCAGTCAGGCTGGTTTCACAGGAGAACTGTAAAATTAAGCAAGTGCTACAGCAACCAGCTGGAGGTTTGCAAGAGCTGATGAGCAATATTTATATAAATAATTTAAAACACTGCTGTCCCTGAGCAAGGGGGAACAGTATTCTTGAGTATTTATGGTGCATACACTACAACAAATCTCCAAAATTCAACCTGATGAGATCAAGAGTTCCTGTATGTGCAAAAGGCTGATGATATCATTATGGTAAAATATTTATGGTTGCTTTCTAATTCTTCCCTAGAAATTTCTGTAGTACCTGGCAATGATGACAGATGGGCTGTTACAGTTTTAGGTTTAGCATGACCAGAGGAAGAACCCCAAGAGAGAAACAGTTACTGTCTAGAGAAAATTGGCCTGTTCAGATGAGAGGTTTTTACAATGACAATCAAACAAAGAATCACCTGACTGGAACAATCAATGGGATTAAGTAAGAATCACTTGACTGTAACAATCAGTCTCACTTGAAAAGTGTGAATTATGAAAAGGCATTTACAGCTGTTTTAGGAAAGCAGCTGAAAAAACTGTGTTTGAATTGCAGGGAGTATCTAAAGTCCTATCACAACCTGAAGAATGCTCCAAAGAAACAGCAAAGCATTTGTGCTGTGAAGAGCTGTAATCTATGTGCTGGCTAGAGATCTGTTTGGGAACTTTATGAACTTGGCTGTTTGCCTCAGTTATTTTGAGTCCTTAAGGAGTTTACTTATAAATTTGGAACATCCCTGAGGCTGAAGCAGATAAGGTTAGCTCAGGAAAGCTGAAGGCAGCTGGACTGTGAAGCCTGGCTCCTGGAAAGGCCGGTGGAAGTGCAAGGAATTTGGGATTTTGGAGCCCAAATGGAGCAGGGAGGTGCCCGGCAGAGGGAGCTCTGGCAGAGCCCACAGGTGAGCCCAGCACCCAGACCCACCTCGTAGATGCAGCACTGAATGATGGTGAGGAGGGTCAGGGCTACTGCGTGGAGACTGAAGAAAACATCATTGATGGCCACAGGGTTCACCCCGCTGGGATAACTGACCAGGAATTCCTCCTAAAGGTAAGAGAAAGCAAAACCAGCCACGTGTCTTAACTCCCTTCTGCACATACCCACCCCCCAGCACGTGTTGGGAGAGAATCGTGCTCACCTTAATCAAGGGAATCCAGAAGAGCCCAACATTAAACACGCTGTATGCTATAAAACCAGTAAGGTTTAATGCTATGAAGTCAAAACTTAGTCCAACAACACTAGAGAAGAGGAAAAAAAAATAGAGAGAAACATGCATTAGAGAGTTACAGGCAGTTTCAGGGACAAATTGACCCTGGAATGTATTGATTTATAGCAGTTTCTGGTGTCAGCAAAAGCTTCAGACATTGTGACCACACAATGCTGCGAGTTCATCAGGAAGCTGGGTGAAATAACAGAGCTCTCATGGATCAATTGGTGTCTCTGCTCTTTAACTGCACCCCTCCATGAGCTCAGCCTGTCTGATAAAGCCCTTCCAGCCTGAATCCACAAAGAACAAGTACATCGTTGCCAGATCAAATAGTTTCATTCTCATATATGATAATGTTCCTACTTTGAGTCACTTAGCTAATAATGACACTACAAGGAGGTGTCTGAGAAACAGCTCTCAAGGCTGGTAATCTTTGACAGTGATCATCACAGCTGCCTCAGCCAGATGATTTACAACATGACACCAAAAGGAATGGGGAAGTCTCCTCTATCACAAATTCATGCTGGATGCCAAATCTTAGGATTAGGTGTTTATAGAATGCACTTGCTTTCCCTCTAACGTGCATATATAAAGTCTCACTGGGGCTGCAATTATTCAGACCCTACCTTTGCCTTTTTCCCCACTTTTCCACAGATAATTCCCAATAACCAAGACAGATGTAGCTGAAGCTATGAACACAATTTGCAGAAGTGCTTTAGTGACTTGCAAACACATCTCTTTACCTTTTCCGTCGCCAGTTCTCAAAGAGTTGAGGATAAAAGGAGATGGACCAGGCAACAAAATAGATCCAGCCAATCACCTCATCAGCATATCTCACTATGATGCTGTGAATCACTTGAAATTGAATCCTAGGCCTGGTGGTTAATGCAAGAAGAATCAGTTAATTCATGGTTTTTTTCAGGAGATTTTATCTTGTTCTGCTCTGAGAGAGGAAATAGAGTCCAGGTGTTGAGACAAGACAATAAAGATTCGGTTGGGTTCAGCTGAGTTGCTCCCCTTTTCATTTGTCACCTTGTTATGTTTGGGACACCTCGCACTCCCTGAGTCTTTCCTTTCCATCCTTTTACCATGGGAATGCTCCCAAAGGTCACTTTGTGCCTGTGGCTTCCACTCTCTCAGCACAGGGTCTGTTAGGCAAGAGCAGAGCTGCACTCCTCACCCTCGTGATCGTGCTGCCCTGTGAGCGTTCCACGTGCTTGCCTTGAGTTTCAAAAGCAGAAGCAAAACAAGGAAGTAAAACAGGAGCACCCTGTGGCTCACTAATATCTGAGCCACAGGCAAATACAATCCAGCTTTCTCCATCTGGACAGCCTTTTCCCAGGAGGGAGAACTGGCATCTGTGAGGAGAGGGCTCCCCTAAGTGACACACCCCAGGAACTCCAGAACAGCACCCCGCTGGACACTGACAGCCAAACCATCTGGACAGCCTTTTCCCAGGAGGGAGAACTGGCATCTGTGAGGAGAGGGCTCCCCTAAGTGACACACCCCAGGAACTCCAGAACAAATCCTGCACAGTAAGAACAGCAACCCCGCTGGACACTGACAGCCAAATGCTTCCCAGAGCAGAAAAGCTGACATGTGATCTTCATACATTTGGGAGGCATTATTAAAACAAGACTAAGGAGCCATGAGAACTCAGTCATCTTGTAATTAAATCTAAGACACCACTCTGCTTCTGTGCCCTCTATTTATCTGAGTACTTGGGGATTTGCTGCAGGGTTACCAATCCTCTTAACTGCATCCCACCCATGTCCCATTTAACTCCTAGGAATAGTTACCCAACTTTTTAGTAAGTAGAACAAAAAAAAAAAAACCAAAACAGTTTCTCACCCAGTTATATTGGAATTATTGGGATAAAGGTAAACTGTTACTTGTCCCACATCATCTGCTTTCACTTGGAAGTCTGCTTTAGTGTGACCTGCAGGGAACTGTACCTGCAAGGCAGAGCAGAGGGAAGAAAGGAGTTGCACCATAATAGCAGGAGCTTTTTGCATAAGGTTACAAGTCTGTGCTCTCACTTACCTCATCAGGAAGTTCAACAATGGTGCTGTGCTTTGAGGAGTGTGTAACATTAAGAGTTATCACCAGTGTCTCGTTTAGTGGAGCCCTGAGAAGGCAGAAAAAACAAGTTAGGCTGGTATCTGAGCTCAGGGGTTGCTTTGGGGCTGCAGGGGAGCATCTGCTCAATCCTCTCAGCAGTGAGCAGCCCACACACAACACAACCTGCCTCATACTCAGAGGAACCAGCACCAAACTGTGTGAGTATTGCACTGGCTCTTTTATCTGATCCAGTTATGGCCATATTGTAACTCCCTCTTCTCTACACCAGTGGCAAAGTCACCAAAAGATTCTGTCCTGTCCTGTCCTATCCTATTCTAGTGCTCATTACCCTTTGCTGAAACAAGGCACATGTACTTGGGGTGATGAAGGACAGAGATTACAGCAGAAAGATAAAACAAAACAAATAAAACCTTTCTAAGTGATACAGTCCTGCACAGCTTTCCTAAATAACTCCACTGAGCATTTGTCCAGGACGTGCTCCTTCTAGGAAATGCAAGTTTCTCTTAAGCATCAACTTTAAGAAAGGGAGGAAGTGTAAATTCACTTATGAAGGACAGCCCATGTTCCAAAGGGAAAGTAAGGCTAAAATCATAATTTTACCTCAGAGAGATAGTGACATTTGTTGAACTTCCACTTTCTAGAGAAACCACTTCAGGGACTGACAACACAATGGCTCCATCTGTGGGGGGGAAAAAAACACCCACACAAATCTCAATTACTATGAACAGCTCCTTCAGAAGAACAACCTACTTTTTTTTGTGCCATAGATATTTTACCCATTGGTTCCTGCAGTGTCAGAACAATCAGATAAGTACACATGATAAAAAGCAAAGGGGGAGTACAGCTTATTTCAAGGCAATCAAACTTAAAAAGAGAAGCAAATAACTGTCACTTGAACATGTTGCAAGGAAGTAATTTAAATGCTTGAAGTGTAACAAAAGTTCATCCCAAGGGAAGGTTATAGGGTACTGCAAACCCACCCTGGTTCTTGATGTGATCCTGGTGATCTAGGACTCACAAAAGCCCCAAATTTAATATAAAATTGTTTCTTGGGCCACAAATTCAATCCAAGTACCCAGACGTCCAAGAGAATGTACATGTACAGAAACAGAGAGAGACACAGGTTGTACAGGTTGGCCTGGACACTTTTTTTTTTTCCTATTGCCACATATTGCACAGTGTCTGTAAGAAGTTATGTGCAGAGGATCGGACTGCAGACTGCACAGACTGCACCCCAGGCGCTGTTCAATCTGCAGAAGTGATTTTGGAGCATGAGGTGCACAGCCTCAGTACAGTGTAGGAGCACAAGGAGCCGAGGTAAGGCGCGAGAGAAGAGCTGATGTGAAGCGTGGCACAGGTATCCCTGGAGAGATGCAAAGGGATAACTAAAGAGCTGCTCTTTTCCATCTCTTACTGGTCTGGAGCGCTGTGGGCCCAAGCTGGGCTGACCAAACACTCACCGCCAGGCCCCAGCAGCGCCAGCGAGAGGCTCAGCAGAGCGGGGAGCAGGCATCGCGTCCTCATGGTGGAAAAGCTGCAGAAAAAGCAGGGAGAAGCTTCCCTCAGCACCCACACAGCCCATCCCCTCCGCTGGAAGCCGCGGCAAGCAGCTCCCAGCGCAGCACCACGGCCCCCAGCCCGGCCGAGGGACCCTCAGCTCCCCTCAGAGGGCACCGATCTCCCCGTCCCGGGCACATCTTTACCTCAGCGCTGCTCCCGTGACGGACCCACCCCACCCCGACGCGCGGGACTACAAATCTCGGCAGCCCCCGCGCCCCCGCCAGACCCTCGCCGCTGGCGGCGCGCCGCGGTGCACGCTGGGACTTGTAGTCCTGCCTCCCTTTCCTCTGCGCTCCGGCGGATCGGGGTACCTGGTGCTTTGGAACGCGCCGCTGCCGAGGCAGTGGCACCGGGGAGCTGGCGGCAACCCACCGGCTTTAGTGCCCCGCGCTGTCCCGGTTCTTCCCTTTTCAGCTCTCACGTGAGGCGATCGCCTGTGGACTCCCCGCCCAGCGCCCACCGCGTCGCTGCGGCCGCCCCCGGGGGCCATCTTGGGTGTGGCGGAGCGGGCCCATGAGGGGGTCAGAGCTGTGAGCGGGGGGGACAGCGCGGGCACGGCGCCGTGGTGGTTTGGTTTTGATAAAAAGCGTGGTTTAAAGCAGCGCAGGTCAGCTGGGGAAGGGGAGGTTTGTCATTGTCACAGTGGACAGGGGTAGTGGCCGGGGAGCGCTGAGGGCAGGGAAGCACCTTCAGCCTGAGGGCGAAGTCCGGGTCGCGCTCCTGCCCCGTCCCTGGGAGCCCGCAGTGCGGCACCGGGAGCCGTGTGGGGCTCGGGCGGCACAGGAGCCGTGTTAGGCTCAGCTTGGTGGGTGTTGTTCCGCCTGTCTGTGCCGGGCAAGGTGACAGCAGTCCCCTCATGGCTGCGGCGGGCGGGCCTGGGCCCACCTGTGTGCTGGGCATTGACCTGGGCACGACGTCGGTGAAGGCAGCGCTGGTGACAGGGACAGAGCGAGGGCTGGCGCTGGCACAGAGCTGCTCCAGGGAGACGCAGGCACACAGCGATAGCCCGGGAGCTGCAGCGCAGGTAAGGGCTGCCAGGGAGTGCTGAGGGACATTGCAGGGCACAGGCCTTGCCTGGCAGTGGTTGGGTTGTTTGGTATGTTGGGCAGAGTGCGGTGGCTTTCCTGGATTGTTTTGGTGCCTAGGTTGGCAGCATGTGTCTGAGTGTTAAAAAGCAGAATTAAAACACCTCCTGCTCACCGTTCAAGGAAGTCAAGCAGTGCTGCTTGACTTACGAAGGACCCAGGTTTTGAAAATTTGCCTAAGACACTGTAAAACTGTTCTCCCATGAGCCACCACCTTATCTTTGACACTCCCAGTAAGGAAACAGCAACCGCTTGCCAACTGGAAGGGTATTTTATTTTGCACTTCAATATGAGGTGGAATCATAACTGGAAACTCCCTGTGGAAATAACCAGGAACAAGTGCTCCTGTTAAAGATCTTTACATCCATTGTGCTGCTCAATATAAAAAAACGATTAATCAGAATCATAAAAAATGTGCACTGTTTCTGATACCAAGGATAACAAACAAGGCAACCCTCCTCCTGCCAATTTATGCAGCCTAAAGTACCTATGCACAAAGTTCACATCTATTTGTAGACTTTGTTGCAATAGTTTTGTAATCTTCATACTGGTCTGTCACAAAGTAACCTGAACCTTTGAAAGTGTGAAAGCTTCTTCTGGGGAACAGTTTGCTCAGTTTCCTGGGTTGTTCTAGGAATAGAATATGCAGAAACTGAATATCCATCATCAAAATCATCACTGAGTAAACAGGAAGGAGCTTTAGGAAGAGGCAGGGGAGACTGAAGACCTGCCAGAACACGTGGATAATTCTCTTTGTGAGGAAAAGGAAGAGCAATAGATAAAGTGAATTAATGAAAACTTGTAGTCAGTGATCATGGATTTTTTTTAAAAGTTATGGTTGAGTGTGGTTATTTAGGAAATTAAAAATTATTTGGCCTTCAGTGTTAATATTGATTTTTAGTTTTTGAGGGTTTGTGGGGTTTTTTGCAATTTTTCTTTTCTTGTTACAGCTTAGTAGTGGATATTACTCTAATAAATGCTATTAAACTAAATGAATTCTGTCCTTCACTTCTGACTAAAGCAGCCTTGTTTAATAAATACACTGAGTGATTCCTAATGGCTTCATGCTCAGGATAATGCTTTGTGATTGCAGGGAATGGAGCAGGATGTCCAGAAAATCATAAGAGCATTGAATGAATGCCTTGCTGCTCTGCCTCAGCAGCAGCTTCAGCAAGTCACCCACATTGGTATTTCTGGACAAATGCATGGGGTTGTGTTTTGGAAAAGTGATAAAGGTAACAGTCATTCTTTAACATTCCTGATCAGAGTGTTATGATGCAGAAAATCAAATTGTAACAGGGAAGTGATTCTGTGATTAAACTGCATCACTTTTGTCTTCTCTAAAACAGATTAACAGAAGATCTCTTATGGGAATTTTGCTTTTTATACTGAAATTTCAGCTACTCACTATAGTTAATGATAAAGGATTTAGCCTAATGACATCCCTGCAGATTCAGCACAATTATTAATATAAAGGAGGAATAGCAGAGTATATTTGTGCCTTGTTAATTGTTTCTCCATCACATGCTATCTGCTGCCCTTTGAAAAACTTCTGCATCACATGAATAACTTGCAGGGGGATTTTATTCACCTCATAAACCCCTTACCTAGATGCTGTCCAGCATCTCAGTAACTCTGTTTTCCCCCCTAAAATCCCAAGACTTTTTTTTCCTAGCAAATCATACATAAATGTCATGTTGCACTCATTTTGTTGCTTATGCTTCTGTTAGTAGGAGCTGGGAAAGGACTGTGGTCAGGATTGTGGATGCTCAGCTGCTTGCCAAGACCTCAGAGACAAAGTCAGCTGCAGTGAGGTAGTCATGTGGGGCTTGGTTGTGCAAATACCCAGATAATCCTTGTGATAGGGAGGATATTTGAAGAATCCAGGCCTTGGATTGCCAATCCTATGAGATAGGCATGGATCATCTTCTTGGCTAATGCCTTATAGACCTACTGAAGTCTAAGGCATGTCTTCTTTCACTTAACCCTGTAATGTGCTCATCTGGACAATTATCCAAGTCTTCTTATAACAGGAATTATGCAGATGAAGTAAAGATGTGTTGTAAACCACAGAGCAGATTTCCCAAAAGTGCTGGTCGCTGCCTGTCAGAAGTTGTCAGGGCCTTAATTGCTTGAAGAGGCACTGTACTATTCATTACTGGCTGTAATTTTACATTAAATACTAAAAATGATTAGAAAGAAAGAAGTCCAAGGCTGATGGACTGGAGGAGCTGTTGTTGCTTTCCAGCTGTCCCAGGAGCTGCATAACAAAGCCTTGTGTATTCATAGGCACAGATTCTTATGTCATATTGGTAAATATTTTATGTCCTAAAGCCACATGCCACTTTAGTTTCATTTCTATCAAGTGAAAGAGGGTGTTTGCTTTCATTTGTTTTGAGTGGACTAAGTGAATCCAGGACCTTTGGGACACAAATAAAAATTTTAATAGCATCCTTTAGGGTTAGATTTATGACTAATAATATTTCTTAGAATCCATTTAAAATGAGAAAAGAAAGCCAATTGGAAATTCAGTTCAACTAGATTTGATAGAACAGGGAATTGAGGAAACAAGAAAAAGTATGTGTTTTATTTTGCATGTTTCTCATGGCACCTCCCAGCCTTCAGGGCTGCTTTTTACTGTGTGAGTGTGACTTCCAAGCCCTGTATCCAACCCAAGAATTACATTTTTTAGCCATACTTGTGCAAGTCAGGAAGCTGAGTATTTTCTCTTGACTCTCTGCTCCCTGGCCAAAACTCAAGAGTTTGCCTCAGTTCCAGAGTGAGTGAGCTGTCCTGTCCCTGCCCTGTGTCCAGGGATGGCCTGGGAGGGATCAGAGCTGTGCCCTGGAATGTGCAGGCAAACAGTGCTTGAGCCCAGCCTCTCCTCTTCAATGGAAGAATGTGAAGGTTTCCTCAAAGGTGTGGTGTTCTCTGCTCAAAAGGAATGTGCTGGGCTAGGAAACTGAATTAAACCCTGAATTAAATCCTGTCCTACCTTTCTTGTGTAGTCTGTGAGGATTTTACTCTGAAGCACTTTGCAGTGCACTGTTTAACCTCCCAGATGCAGGTTTCTTGTTGCTTGGGCTCCAGAGGTGATGCAGCTTTGTGCTGTCCATCCTGGGCAGTGCATTTCTGAGGCAGCATTCTCCAGGTGGTGATGTGGCACATCCCAGCTGAGGTTTTCATGTGAGAGCTGCCATGCCAGCTCCTCACCTCCCATAGCAGACTGTGGTTGGGTTTTTTTGAGGCTCACCTGTTATTTAAGTTGTATCTTTAATATCTCTCTTCAAGAGAAGGAAGGCTTTGGATACTGTTCTCTGTGTTACAAAGGATAATTTGCATTATGATGTTATCTAGGGCTGGAAACTAAGACTAATTTCATTACAGTCTCTACTGGCTCTGTTTCTGATATATTTAACAAATTATCAGGTGTGTCCAGAAATAAGGAATGCCAGGCAGGCTGTGCTGCAGGGAGTCACTGGATTTCTTGGATTCTGTTTTGTTTTCAGGGTGCAGGTGGTCAGAGAGTGGCACAGGCCCTGCCTTTGGGCCAGACAAGGTCAGCCACCTGGTCACCTGGCAGGACGGGCGCTGCAGCCCCACCTTCCTCACTTCCCTTCCTCTGCCTCAGTCACATGTGAGCCTGGCTACAGGATTTGGATGTGCCACAGTCTTCTGGTATTCAAAGAACAGGTACATTGCTGCTCCAAAGGCTGTTTCTCATCTTGAATTGATGTGACAATTAGTATTCCTGTAGCATGTTAATGCTGCTACAGGCTGAGGACTGCTTCTCTGTAATCATAATCTTAATTAAGCAGTCAAAGAATATTTAAAATGGCAGTATTTAATATAAAATATGTGCAATTAAGCATGCAAGAGTCTGACCTCATAAAAATACTACAGATCACTAATAAAAGGATAAGCTTTTGACCATATAGGAACAGCTTTAAAGTACCATAGAATAATTCTGGTCTGTACCATGGCTCAGAGGAGCTCTGCTAGTGCAGTTTGAACTCTCATTTTGCCTTGTGCTGCTTTGTGGAAAGTAAAGACATGTCTAAAACAGTAACAGAGTTACTTGGTCTGGTTGCTGCCAGATGCCAAAACAAAGTCTCTAAATTAATTTCAGTTCCTTCCTTCCTCAGAGACTGTGACAGATCCTCATGGGGTGACACAAATGCTCTGCTTTGTTGTGGTGTGTTTGCAGAGATACAATTTTTCATTATGATTTGGCATCACAGAGATTTGCTCTTCAGTTTCATCTTTCTCAAAGAGCCAGGCTCTTTGTCTGCAATGAGTTCAGGTTCAATAAGTGGGGAAAATTTTATTAGATTTTTTTTTTTTCCACTGTGTGTCCAGCAAATATATGGAGCATGGTGTGATCTTTAGAGCTGCATAAGTCATGAGTCCAGCTGCTTTGT